TCATTTTAATATTAACTTTATTGGGGTACAAGTTCCATTCAGTGAGATCGCTTTCAACTTGTACAGTTCGACGAGCTTTGATAAATGTATACACCCATGGCCCCAGCATCCCAATCAAGAGAAAAAACACTGTCACCACGCAATGTCCCCTAGTCCCAACTTATAGGCAGCCCTGCCTCTTAGGCCCCAGGTCACCACTGATCTGATTCATATCACTATAGATTCATTTTACCTTCATTGAATTTAATACAAATGGGATCACAGAGTATGAGCTTTTTTTTTAAAAGAGATTTTATTTAATTTATTCTAAATTTGGGGGGGGGAGGGCAGAGGAGGAGGGAGAGAAAGAATCCCAAGCAGGCTCCACACCCAGCGTAGAGCCCCATGTGGGGCTTGATCTTACAACCCTGAGACCATGACCTGAGTCGAAATCAAGAATCTCTTAAGCATCTGCCTTCAGCTCAGGTATGATCCCAGGGTCCTGGGATCCAGTCCCATGTCGGGCTCCCTGCTCAGCGGGGAGTCTGCTTCTCCCTCTCCCTCATGCTCTCTATCTCTCTCTCTTTCAAATAAATAAATAAAATCTTAAAAAAAATTATCTTTAAGTAAGCTCTATACCCAACCTGGGTCTTGAACTCACAGCCCTGAAATCAAGAGCCCCATGCTCTACCAACTGAGCCAGCCAGGCGCCCCGTAGAGTACGAACTCCTGCTCAGCGTAACTGACCTTCATCTATGTCACTGAGTCCATCAATAGCTCATGCTCGCTTTTCCTGTTTTATGGTATCCCATCATATGCCTATCACAGTTTCTTTACCCATTCAGCTGGTGGTGGACAACTGGGTTGTTTCTGATGTTTTGGCAATTGTGAATAGAGCTTTATGAATGCTGATTTATTTATGTTTTTAAATTTTTAATGGGCTGTGTCACTAGCACTATGTGGGCATGGCCTGTGTATCTCCTGCCTGGAGCACCTCTGAGAGCCGTGGAGTAGTCCATTTTGCCCCTATTGTCAGACATATAGTCTCTTTAAAGTTTTTGCCATTATCAATAACACTGCTGGGAACATCTTTACACGGACATTTTAATGTATGGCTGTGCTGATTTCCCTGAGGATAAATTCCCAGAAGTGGAAGTGTTAGGTCAAAGGGTGTCCATGTTTTCAAGGCCCAGGACACACGAGGCCAGGATTTCTAGGCACGTTCATATCCATTTCTTTCCCACTTGCTTCCCATATTAAGGCTGGGCATCATGATCCCCATTGTCAGATGGGACAACAGAGGGCTGCAGAGATGAAATGAGCAGCCAGAGGCCACACAGCCGGTTAGGGACAGAACTGGGAGGGAACCCCAACTTCTAAGTCCTGTATGCTTCCATTCGCCTGTGTCAGGAACGCTTGGAATTTTCCCACAACGATTTCCATGAATATCGAACTGTGGGCTGAGGTGAAAGGCAGCCTCGTGTTAATTAGTCTGGCTTTGATTTGGCTCATCCACAGAGCTTGGGTGTGCGTGTCTATCTCTGTTTTCTCACACTCATGCTTACTGGTGGTCTACACCCACCAGTGTCAGTGGTGGTCGGTCCAGATGATCCAATCCAGATTCTCCTTCCAAACTGCCTTCAGAACCTGGAGCCACAGGGGCTCCTGACTTTACAGCCAAGGCACATTGTGGCCCCAAACAGGGCTTGGCTTCCATGCATCTACTCCACCGACTTGGCCCAAAGGACATCTGGTTATTGCCCCAAATCAAATCTCCCCTTGAGGACAAAGATCAGGCTTCTGGGGGGATTCAAAGGGATGATCTATTCTGACACGGCTGCTTCCAAAGAGGTGGCGTAGCCGGTCTGCAGGGGGCTGAGCCCTGGCGCTCAGCCAGTGCCCAGCAGAGGACGAGGGAGGGAAGTGGAAGTGCTCCTAGGAGTACAGGCATCCTAGATATTTGTGGAGGGCTCTGGGGCTACTCTCGGGGCATGGAAATAGCTCTGCATTGAAACTGATACCAAGTTTGATTTTGTTCACTTATTAATTGGCTCCTATGTGTCGGAAAGGGCCATACCCATTATCTAATTTAATCCTTAACAAGCAAATACTGTTATCCCCATCTTACAGATGTGAAAGCTAAGGCTCAGAGAGGTTAAAAAACTTGCCCAAGATCACACAGCAGCAGGCACTCAAGTCGCAGCATGCCTACTCTTGGCAGACTTAAGGGCCTGGCCTCTCTTCGAAGTTAAGAGAGGTCTCTGCCCCGTGTGTGGCTAGCAGGCCCCAAGGTATGCATGTTCATCCAAAGCTAGCACAAGTAGAACCCAAGATGATTCTCAAGTGTTTGAAGAATATAAATGATTCAGATCCTCCCTCTTCCTACCTAAAACCTGTTCAGGTCCTTCCTTTCTGGGACCACACCCCAGGCCCACCCCACTGCTGGGTAGACCTACTAACACCCCAGTCCTGCCCCTATTTAAGAATGTGGGTGTTGTTCCCTGAGTTAGGGCAAAGAAGAATCACCTCCTCTCAACCCTGGGTCTGAAGGCTCTCTGCTCCTGAAGGCCAAGAGGCCTAAGGAGGCCTTTGTCCATGGTAGAAGAGATCAGGAAAGGAAAGGCCCATTCTCTCAGAAAACATGTGTTTTCTGTTTACAGAGAGGCCTGTCCAGTTCCCATGCTTTGTTCTTTAATATGGAGCCAAAAAAAAAAAAAAAAAAATCAAATGTGCAGCTTCCTTTCTGAGGTACATTTAGAGGCTGGAAAATCTGGATTGCTGCAGGCACACTGCACTGGGCCTTGAGCTGGCCTGGGCTGGGGCCTTGTGTCCTGTGTGCTGCCTACCTGCAGCATCACGTGGCCTTCCTATATCAACCTGGGGAGCCACGTGGAAAAGCCAAAATGCCCTCTCAGAGTCTCCCAGGGAGAGCAGTGGGTGGAGAGGAGAGGCAAGCAGTCTCGATAGAACTGGGGCTTTGTTTTCTTCAACGCGGAGTCCGTGGCTATGTGTGTGAATGTCCCCGGATGCTCGCACCCACACTCCCCAGCCTGGTGCCACTGGCTTGGCTGACTGTGACCGACACAGCAGCCATCCTGGAATCACCTACTTTTCCACACCCTCTCTGCACAGAGGAGGTCCTTTCCCATCACCTGAGCGAAAGGAGTGTAACAGGTGGGTGTCACTTGGCACGAGGTCTCCAGGCTCCTGGGGTCAAGCTCACGGATGCTGGGCACCTTCAAAGCGGGGAGTGGGGCTTCCCTCTGGGTAGGAGGATCTTCCTGCTGGGGATGCGGCAGCAGCGAGCTAAGGTAAGTAACAGAGCTGGCAGCCAGCTGTGCCCACTGAAAGGAAGCTAGTATCCCGGAAGCCGGGTTTGCAGAGTGTAAAAAAAAGCCTGAGATGCAGAATTGGAGATCTGGGTCCAATTGCCGGCTGTGCCCCGTCTCCTGCGAGGCCTTGGGCAAGCTGCCTCTCTGGTCTCCGTCTACACCGCCCCGCCCAAGTCTGTGAAAGCGGGGCTGACTATGGCAGCGCTTCCTGGCGCAATGAGGAGCCATGAGATGACATAAAGGCATATACCCCCCGTTTGCCGCGACGTGGTTTTCAACGTATGGCAGCTACTAGGAAGTCTGGGTCGTCAAACTTCTTTGAAGCGGCACTGTAGCTGCAGCATCCCTTCCCAGCTCAGGCCCGAGTCAAGGCCTACGGAGAGGCGGGGCTCTGTACTCCCGGCCGCGGGGCAGCGCCCAGCGAAGGCAGGGGCGAGCGCCTCACTGGGCCTGACCTCCACCCTGCAAAGTCAGGCGGAGGGCCGACATCGCGGCTCAGGGGCGCTGCGTCTGCCGCTCGGTAGCGCCAGCCCGGGCCGGCGCGCTTTAATCCGCCCGCTGCCCCTCCGGGCCCGGCCGGCCAGCGGCGCGCTCCCCGCCCCCACTTTGATCTCTGCCCCTCCTTCCCCCCCCTTCCCCCCGGGCGGGCGGCCTCGGCAGCCCGTGCACCTGGGGGCGGGCGGAGCAGGAACGAGGAGGACAGGAGGAAGTGCGCGCGGCCCCTCCCCAGGGAGCCGCGCCCTTCCGCGGCAGGGCCTAGGCGGCCTCGGCCCTGCCGGCCTTGGCTTTGGCCTTGGCCGCCGCCCGCCCTTCCGTCCCGTTCCGGAAGCCAGCCCTAGCGCGACAGGCGGCGCGGACGCAGCGCGGCGGCGGGGGGCGGGGCCGGGGAGCCCAACGCGCTTGGGGGCGGGGCCTCTGCGCGGCCGGCTCCGGAAGCCCAGGAGGAGGCGCGGCGGGCAAAGGCGCGAACGCGGCGGCGCAGCCGGGGCGGGGGCGGGGGGCGCGGGAGGGAGGGGCGGGGAAGAAGGCGTGGTCTCGACGAGACTGGGGCCGGGGCCCCCGCGCTGCCCTCTCCGACCGCCGGGCCTGCGGGCAGTGCGGACGTAGCGTCGCAGTCCCGCGGGAGGGGTTGGGGCGGAGCCTGGCGCGGCCGTGGGCGGGGCCTGGCGCGGCAGGGACCGCGAGGGTGATTCAGTTTCCGCGTCCCTCCCTTCCAGCCCTTCCCGCTCTTCCCGCTCTTCCCGCCCTCCACGCCCTCCACGCCCTACAGCCTGGCCTGGCCTTCGCTGGCATGCCCGAGATGTTTCAGCTAAATTTCGTCTGATTCGGATTTTCATTTACTTTAGGTTTCCATTTTTAAAAAGTTTAACAATTTCCTGCCTTTTAACATCCTCCCTAATCGGATAACAAAACAACCAGACAGTAGGGAATTTGGAAAATCCAGGAGAGTCCATATAAAAAATGAGAAAGCTTTCAGAATCTCACAGCCCAAACTACGGCCAAGAGCTGCTTTTTTTTTTTGGTAAATATATAGATTTTTACATAATCTGGAAAGCAGTGTACACATATTTATGGATGCCTTAAAATTTTTTTCTGACTGTAAAAGTCACACATGTTTATTGCGGAAAATTTGGAAAATGGAAAAATACAAAGAAGAAATTAAAGATGACCTGACAGTCCACCACATAGAGGTTACCAGTGCTAACATTTTGGTATTTTTCCTTCCTGTTTTTGCAGAATTACACCTATGTTTGAAACATAATTGGGATTGTAGTGTAAACGTTTTACAAACTTCTTCTTTCATGGGCAGCCGTATTGTTAATGTCCTCACATCCTTGTGTGCATCTACATTGTTTGTAATCACACAGCCCTGTGTTGGGGGGGTCATTATTTTACTTCACTTACATGCTCTGATCAGACATCATTATTTACAGTTCCCATCTGTGTCTGGCTTCCTCTTTAGGATGAACTACCTGGTAGCTAAATCTCTGTGCAAAGTTCAGGAAAATTCCTCATGACAGATCCTAGATGCACAATCGCTAAAGCAAAGTTTATAATCACTAATCTTTCTTGTATACTTTTTTTCTTTACATGTTTTCCAAAATTAAGTAGTAAATGAATATTTTAGCAAGGGATACTTTATATATATATAAATCTCTCATATCCAAAATACATTAAAAAAAAACAAACTACAGTTAAACAGCAACAAATTAGGAAGTGGGGAAAGGATTTGAACAGACATTTCTGCAAAGATGATATTCAGATGGCTGATAAACGCATGAAAAGATGCGCAGCATCACTAAGCATTGGGGAAACGTAAAGCAAAATCACAATGAAATGCGATGGCTTTTCACACTTACTAAGACGGCTATTATTAAAAGACAAAAAACAAACCCAGAAAAGAACCAGCATTGGTGAGGGTGTGAAGAAATTGGAGCCCTCATGCATTCTAGTAGGAATGTAAGTACCGCAGTTGCAGCAGAGAACAATATGCTGGTTCCCTGAGACATTAAACACAGAATTATAGGACCCAGCAATTCCACTCCTAGGTATACACCCAAAGGAACTGCAAGCAGGAACTTTAGCAAATAGTTATGCATCCACATTCATGTTCATATTGACAGTAGACAAGAAGTGGAAACAAATGTGCATCAATAGATGAATGGAGAAACACTGTATACAAATACAATGGAATGTTACTCGGCCTTAAGACCGAATGAAGCCTGACACCTGCTACAGCAAGGATGAACCTTGAAAGCATATGTGCTCAGTGAAATAAGCCAGGCACAAAAGGACAACTATTGTATGATTCCACTTATGTGAAGTACCTAGAGTAGTTGAATTCATAGAGACAGAAAGTAGACCAGTGGTTATGAGGGTCTGGGGGGAGGGAAGGATGGGGAGTTATTATTTAATAGGTACAGAGTCTCAGTTTGGGATGATGGAAAGTTCTGGAATGGTTGGTGGTGATGGTCACACGACAGATTGTGAGTGTGCTTAATGCCACTGAAATGGTGAGTGGTAAATCTTATGTGATGTACATTTTACGTGTCACACACACACACACACACAAGATATTCTGGGGGTCGGGGGGAAGGTGGTGATGAATCTCTTCTGGATTCTAGTTCCAAGGATGCCTGGGTAAGACAAGGTCTACACATGTGGCCAGCTCCTTATGGGTGACACTGCCAGGTGGTCAGGGACAGCCCTTCTGGGGACCTCTGCTCTGGGGAAACAGGGGCCAAGCCAGGCCTTACACACTCAGCATTTTCCATGATAATTTCCAAGCCGGGAGTTAGAAACCTGCTTTGGGGAAGCAGTGAGTCACTATAGATCTTTATCTGAACTTAGCCTTTTCTTTCTGGGCCACTGAAAGATACACACACACACACACACACACAAACACAGAGACACACACAAACACATGCACCTTTTTGTCTTGATTACAAACATACATATTTACGGTTGACAATTTTATAAACACAGAAAAGTACCCATGAGAAAATAATAAACATGTGGAATCCCAACTCAGAGAAACTTCAATTGACTTTTGAGTGTCTGTTTGACGTGGCTTTCTTCTCTACTGATAATATGTACCTAAAATCACCGTCGTCATATATCATGTTTTGTAATCTGCAGTTTCACTGATACACAATGAACAATTCACCTTGACTTTACATTTATTTCTATAGCCCACTTTTTAATGTTTGCAGAATAATCTGTTTTTCAGATGTCCCATACATAGCGTCTGTAGCTAATTCTCCACTGTTGGCCGCCAAGGTGATTTACCAATGTGCTGTGATGAACATCCTCCTTGAGCATCATCAGAAATCCCCTTTAGGTGCTCCTAGAAGAATAACTATAATTTCATAGAGGATTTGCTTTTTTTTTTTTTTTTTTTTTAAGTAGGCTCCATGCCCAGCGTGGAGCTCAATGCAGGGCTTGAACTCACGACCCTGAAATCAAGAGTGGGATACTTAACCAACGGAGCCACCCAGGCACCCTGAGGATTTGCTTTTTAAAGGCTCTTGCATATATTACCAATTGGCCCTCCAGGAAAGTTGAATGGTTTATTCCAGCACCAGTAGCGTATGAGTATGTGCTGGTGGGTTTCTACCTAGAGATGTCTTAGTTCTACCCAGCAGGAGAGCTGTCACAGCAGGAACACCACTGTCCCAGGATGGGCCCACTGTGGACCCCTGTCTTTTCACTTTTGCTGAATTCCAAGGAGAGGTGGGCAGGGAGGCCCTGGGCTCTGAGCTCTGGTGGGGACACAGCCCTGGACCAAGGCACCTGAATGGCAAAGGTTTGACTCCCACTTGCCCCCGGATGCCACTTCTCACTGTTTGCTGGCACTGCCAGGACTGCCTGAACCATTTCCCAGGTGTGAGGTGTGGCAGGCCCTGCAACTTTCCAATAGGCCTTACCTGGCCCTTCGCTTGTGGCTGGTTGGATGGCATCCGGCACAGTAGGGCCAACAGTCGTGGACACATCTCTGCTGTGAAGCAGGACTTCTGGATCAAGGGGTCACCACCGGGAATGCCTCACAGCCTCCCCTGCCACAGCGCAGGCTGTCCCGGACACTCCCTGGTGGCCACCGCTCTTGGCCCCATCACACAGGGGCTTAACCCAATACCTGGGGCTGGTGTGAGGCATACTGTCTGCATCTGTCCATCCCGGTTACGAGTCAGGCCACCAGGGACACCAGAGATACAGAGCCCTGGCCATCCTTCCTCTGAGGTCCCTGTCCTCTGCCCAGGGCTGCAGGCTCCCCTCATCTGGACAGTCACCTCCCTAACTGCTGCCTGTCTCCTCCAGTGTGGCTGCCGGAGTGGTTCCCCAAACCCACAGCTCCCATCCCTAGCCTTCTTGAACCCCTTTGGTGCTCTGTCACCCCAGGGTGGTCCCCAGCTTCTCTCTTCTCATCTTCCCCCATCGTGCCTCTGCTCTTCTCCTGCCACAGAGAACTGCCTGCCTCTTCTCGCAGCTGTTCCCGTAGATGGGGATGGTCTTCCACTCACAGTTGCCTTCCTGGTGGCGCCCCTTACTCCTACTGTGAATAACAACAGTAGTTGATGCTATTGAGCGTGTACCTCGTGTAAGGCTCAGCTCAGCTACCACTTCCTCCAGGAAGCTCTCTGGGATGCGTCCCTTGGCTATGACAAGCCGCTCCTGTGGTGCCCGGCTCTTCCTGCCTTGGGGAAAGAGCTCCACACCCTTACCCCAGAGCCCCGCTGGGCTGTGAGTTTCTAGAGAGCAAGGACTTGTGTCTTCAGCGCCCAGCCCCAGGGCCTGTTGTCAGTGGGAAGTCCAAGATGGCACAGCTGGTAAAAGCAAGTGGTGAGTGCTGATAGAGCGGCGATGGTTGGAAATTAATTCAGACCATCCTGTTTCAAACATGCGATTGTCTGGGAGCAGGAAAGCTTGAAATTTGTTCTTGGCAAAGAAAAATTAAAAAGCGAAGGGAAGCTGGAAACAAGGTTCACCGTGTCTCCTAAAAGAGCAACTGTCTTTCTACTATAACCCTGCTGTGTGACCGCAGGCCAGAGCTGTCCCTGGTTGGGCACCCCCTCTGGTCAATACCCAGCTGCCTTCTGTGGTCACCCAGGGCCTCCCAGCTCTGAGGCTGGACTCAGGACTCTGATGCTATTCACCAACGATGCCTGCCTTCCAATCAGCAAAATGTCCACAGCACAGCCTGCCCTTGGAAGTGAGGATGAGTCTCCTTCTAGAACATTCTGCAAGGCTCAGTGCAGGCCCTGCTCTTGTGCCGGCCCTGTGCTTGTTTCCCCGTCAAGTGGTTGGAGCCTGCTGGCCTGTGGCGGGAGGGTCGAATGTTCAAGTGCACATTGGATACTCACATTTGCAAATTCCTTATCTCACACCGCGGGGACAGACAGAGGCATCTGTGCTCTATCCCCTCTTCTCTGTCCTCATAAAGGCTCTTCCACCTTCGTGGTCTGAGAGACCTGTGTCACAGCTGCAGGCCACCTCCTTGGCCGAGGCCTCTTTGTGGTCCGGCTGTTGTCACACTGATTGACGGGATGCCCCAGGTTGGCCTCTGAGAGCTGCCAGGTTAGAGGGCCCCAGTGGAGCCAGGGGACCCATCAGGAGACCCCCCCCAAGTCCAGGGAAGAAGGGATGCACGAGGAGGATCCCACTGTGAGGGCCTGGCCGTGACCGCGTGTGTAACTGCCGGCGTGAAATGACAATGTGCGGATAATGTGGTAAGTTAAATACCATGTGTGCTCCGCGGGAGGAAATGGCCTTTATCTTGAGGTTGTGTTCCTACTTTTCTTGGTTTAAAAATAACCTTTAAAAAAAGGAAATTAAAATTAATTATTTTTCTAAAGCCCTCCACATGGAAAAACAGAAATTCAGTAGGCCTTCAATATCTCCTTTGAGACTTGACCAGTCTGAATTCCAGTATTTCTGAAAACACCTTTCTGCACGTTCCCTGTTGAGGTCACCAAGGAGACTCACCAAGTTGCTACCCCTCCCTTCAAAACTGTAGTGGCTCCCTATTACCTTCAGGTTTGGGGCCACATTTCTTAGTATGACATGGAAAGTATAGGCAGGTGGGAGGAGGGAAGGAAGAAAGGATTAGGGGCAACTCCTGGAGGAGGTGGTATATTTTATTTTATTTTATTTTATTTTATTTTATTTTATTTCATTTTATTTATTTCATTTTATTTTATTT